TAATTGAGTGCAAAATTACATCAACCCTTCGACCTGAGGCTCCACGATATTGTTCATACTATTATATAGGCATAATTTAATAATTGGACCCAGAAAAGTCGGCATCTTCTTTCATTCGGAGTTTAATTGTTTTTCATAAATCTTCGGCTTATGGAGAACATCAATTTGCTTAATTGTTCATGAAAGATCACGGGACTTTGTGATCCAATATGACAACAGATCTATGTCCAATGAGTTATTTCAATCAAAGTATGCTTATTTTATGTACAACAATTTTTCTTCTACGATTGTTTGAATGATAAATGCATAATGAAAAGTACGCTACATGCCATAAAGATGGGAATGAATGGCACATGATTATTATTATTTTTTATCTTCCCGGTTCTTTAAGTTTTTGTTCTAATTAATCTGGATTGATTCGTCTAAGTTTTAGTGGATGAATCTCTCGTAGAGGATTTCTGTATACCCAATGCCACGTGAATTATCAATGACTACATATATTGAAAATTTTATATTTCTAAAGGATGAGTAAATTACAAATTTTACAACTTGGCTAAAGATAATGGAAATCTAACCCTAAAACCGGTAGTTATACTCCAAGACAGGAAGTAAAATGACCAGCTTACTGAGCATATTTTATAGTTTATCCTTTTAATAAAATTATTCTTATAATTATTACATTATCTTAATTTTATAGTTTTTATCTTTTTTTTTATCAAACTTTATTTATATTTCTATTATTAATTTGTAATACTAAATCATCTAAAAACTTTAGCTCATCAAGTGGTCAATTGGTTAAAAAAATTCTGAATAGATATTATATTGTAATCACCCCATGCTATTAAAAAAACTTAAAAAATATAAAATAAATAAATAAATAAATTTATAATTTATTTCCCATAATTCTAATGATTCCATTTATCACCGAACACTCAAAATACAACAATTACATAAACAACAAATCCAAATGATTGAACGTTACCAACTTCATGATTAACGAGGACTGCATGGCCTATATTCTACCAGAACACAAAAGGCATTTGCAAGTAATTTAATTCATAGTTTAACGATCATGCAAAGGGATTAACAGTTTCCTTTGTTAAATGGATTATAAATGTTGCAAGGTAGATCATGAGCTGCACGATCTTAACTCACCCGAAACTGCATGATTTTAACTGCTCAAAAAAAGAAAATCAGTCAAAGAATTTCCAATTCAAGGATGAATGAATACGGTCATATTAGATAGGTTGCTGGCGCCTATTATATCTGTCACCGCTCGCTCGCCCTAACAGGCTGCCGTAGCAGCCGGCTTAAATTAAGAACAAGAAAATAGCGTCTCGGTACTTGGAGAAACATATAAATGCTATAAATTTCTTGTTGAAATACTGTTATGGATAATATAAAAACAGCTAAAATCATACAGAGGAAAAGTGGGGTTGACATTAGTTTTGAAAAAAGTCAATTTGAACAGATGATACGGGTCATCTAACCTAGGATTGGCTCATTTGGAGGAAGAAAAAAATTGGGTAAACTACATGGATGACTACTTAATTATGGATATATTCTATTTTGATCATTGATCTTTTAATTTTATCAATAAAACTACTTAACAATTTAAATGATATCAATCAAATCACATATCGTTAACATTTAACGGAAGAGTTGACGTGGGTGGGATGGACCTAGGGGAAGTAGGTGGGGGTGGTCGTCCCCCTCAAAGTTTTAATTTGATATATAATTTAGATATTTTCTTTGTATTTTCTGTTGAAAATATGTTTTCATCCTCCCCTAAAATTTTATAAATTCGTCCCTTTAACATAAAATCATGCGTTCGTAATGTGACAATTAACAAAATTTATATAATTATATATTTGATCCCCCGTTAGCTCCTCCATCAAATGTATAAGTAATGAGAATCAAGTGAGAAATTATTCCTATTTTATTAACTGACATATCAGCTCTCTCGTCAAATGTTAACGAAAGGTGACTTAATTGATAATATTTAAATAATTAAATGATATGATTACAAAAATTAAAATATCAGTGGTCAAAATAAAATCTGACCATAGTGATCATCCATGTAATTTACCCGAAAAGAAAATCCACACTCAAGTTGTTCATCTTTCAATATGCAATCTCCAGTTATATAATGCACGCAATCCAATATAAAGTCTTCAAAGCAAAAAAAAAAAAAAAAACCTAAAACTTGTTTAGAAAGGCGGTTACCAGAATCTGACCTACTATTTCAGCCAACAAAATAACTTAAAATAATGCAGCTGCTCATGCAGAAGTAGAAGCATGTTCATGGAAATTTAATAAAAGATCAATGGCTAAAAAGAAGCAGAAATAGCAGGAGAAGATTGATTGTGCAATCAATGCTAGCTGTGTGGCTAACTAAATGCATCTTTTAGTCAACTTTACCTCCTCTCTCTACTATAAATATCATCTATTTTCCATTTACTTCTCTGCACACAAACATTTCCCATATTTCCTTCTTATTTTTTCCCACACCTCTTTCTCTGACCTATTTCTGGAGAAGGCCATGGTTTTTCCTTTAGTGTTTCTGAAGCTCGCTGACTGGGTCTTGTACCAGCTGCTGGCCAACTCTTGTTACCGAGCCCCCGGGAAGGTGAGGAACTATGGGTTCTTTTTAAGGAACCAAACTCCTCCTAGGTGGTCGTCATCACCACAGCAACAAGTTGGTTCTTTATTCCCTACTAGCGTCGCCCACTTTGATTTAAGTAACGATGTCAAAACCCCTCGTACACTGGTTTGTGATATTCATGGGGTCTTATTGAGAACAGAAACCTTCTTCCCTTACTTCATGCTGGTTGCTTTCGAAGGTGGTAGCATTTTAAGAGCCTTTCTCTTGCTTCTGTCGTGCTCCTTTTTGTGGGTTTTGGACTATGAGCTCAAACTCAGGGTTATGATCTTTATATCCTTCTGTGGGATTAGGAAGAAGGACATCGAGATCGCCGCCATGTCTGTGTTGCCCAAGTTTTATCTCGAGAATCTTAATCTCCAAGCTTACCAAGTTTGGTCTAAAACAAGTTCAAGAGTTGTGTTCACAAGTATACCTAGAGTAATGGTCGAAGGATTCCTAAAGGAATACATGAGCGTCGATGATGTCATCGGCACCGAATTGCAAACCGTCGGGAACCGATTCACAGGCTTGGTATCAACCTCCGGTTTGCTAGTAAAGCATAAAGCTTTAAAGGAATGTTTCGGAGATAAGAAACCAGACGTTGGCCTTGGAAGTTCAAGTCACCATGATCATCGGCACTACAGTAAAATATAATTTTAGCGGCGTTTTTTAGTCCTATAGCGGCGTTTTTAAGCGCCGCTAAAAGCACTCGCGACGATAGTAAAAACGCCGCAAGAAGCGCCGCAAGAAGCGCCGGCCAAACCAGCGTCGCGAATGTTAGCGACATTTGTTAAATAAAAACGCCGCAAAAAGTCAAGATCTATAGCGGCATTTTTAAAACAAACGTAACAAAAGGTTAGATCTATAGCGGCGTTTTTTGAACAAACGCCGCCAAAAGGTCAAATCTATAACAGTGTTTTTGTATACCCGCAAAAAGTCAGATCTGTAGCTGCGTTTTTGGAACAAATACTGCAAAATATCAGGTTTATAGCGGTATTTTTGGATACAAACGTCACAAAAGGTTAGATCTGTAGCGGCGTTTTTGGATACAAACGTCGTAAAAGGTCATATCTGTAGCAGCGTTTTTGGAACAAACGCCACTAATTACCATTCTTTAGCTAAGAGTAATTGATATTTTGCATATTTCATTTCTGCTCTACATCACCTAAATTTAATATCAAGTAACTTTATATAAATAACAACAACCATAAATTTTAACAAAATAAATTAAAATTTATAATCATTAAAATTAAATGTAATGTAGTTTGACATTGTTCTCTAGAATTTAGTCTAGGTTATTTCACTTTCAATTAAAAAAATATTATTCACTAGAACTTAGTCTTCATTGCGCTGGTTCACCAGGAAGACTCCTTGCACGCTTCAATGCTTCACTTGAAACAGATAACGACCTTCCACCTATAGTATGAAAATTGAGAATTAGAAAATTTCAGTTATAATCTCATCCATTGTTTTGTCAACATCATCTATATTCCTGTAAAGAATCCAAACTTCCAAGCATTTAAACATACAAGCTTCATTGAATAAAATCTTTTTTCAGAAATAAATTAGAACCATAATCGAACTGCACTCAAGTGTATGACGTGGATATGTTCAATTTTTTCCCAGATTTCTTTTTCCAAGCATCTATATGTTCATTGACTGCTAATAGAACTCAACTTTAGAAAATACTTTGTTGACACTTGCTTATTACTTCTTGAAACGGTTTCTATTCAAAACTGATAAAACTTTTGAGCTCTTGAGAGAACATAAAAATGATTAAATTGAAAACAACATATTATCACATCATTAACAATTATTTATTTTAGAAGTTGCAATTTACATAAAATCAATTAATTAAGTGTTGGCTAGAATTTACCTCATTTTTTGGGCCTTTATGTACTCTTTTCCATGGAAAGCTCCACATACCCTAAGTGTTACTCGCACATCCCATCCACAGCTAATACCTTCCACTTGTAACGCTTGCAAAGCAAGTTCAGAGCAGCAGAGCTGCACATTTTGATTTCATCACTGCAATCGTTGAACCACTAATTGAGTCAATAAATGGTTAAAAAATAGAATGCCATGAATTAGAAACCTCATCTTTTAAAGCCATAATTGATGATAAACTGAATTTAAGTTAATTGAGCATAATTACATCACTCACTTCTCCATATTTTGCAAGCCTGGTGTTTGATATTAGGTTTGTTGTGCTCAGTAGTGGAAAATGCACTTTGGGGTGGAAGTATCCATGTGCAAAGAAAAAAAAGGCAAGAGTAGCCCAAAATTAGAATGGCTCATATAAATACTCTATGATTCAGCAGAAAAAATGTAAGTTCAAACAGAACTGGTACTTATAGGTAAAATGGTTGGCTTATGTGATGGAAGTTCTCCATTAATAGCAGCATAACTAAAAACATAAAAGTTCAAAGTCCAACAACTAAAAGGTGATATAGAAAAGTTAAACGAAATGGATTTATAGAATGATAGAGAGTGTACTTACACGATAAATGCATCCTCTAAGGTGGCAGCTAGTATTCCAACTGTCCAGTTCAGAGGAAGAACACTGGAAACAACATATGAACTTTCATATATTGTCTAAAGTTTACAAATTATATAATTATTTTACTTGAATAAGTTCTCACCCTGAATGAGGTATGCACCCAAAAGTTGGTTTGAACCCAACAACACCACAAAGGGATGCAGGCATCCGCACAGATCCTACACAAAATCCATAGATGAATTACATTAATCCTTAGAGGGTGATAAATAGAGATGCTCATGCATAGCTTCTCAAAATATAGGAATGATAGAACTCTTAGTTCTAATGTACTTTTATAGTATTAATGAAGTAAACAAATATTGTGATAATAATATCACCTGAAAACCTGATGAATTCTACATGCTTCTTCCATGATGGAGGTAATAGTATCTACTCAAACTTATGATGAAGCTTTCTTACCAACCATTATATCAAGATTAAGGCTTCTTAGTTTGATTTGGTTTATGTCGTCGTTCTTATGAAGCTATCTTAATGCTAAATATGTTCTTTCAGAACATTGTACGTAACATTATTCAAAAATATTTTATGGTTTTCAATTTTTTTAGTAAAGGACAATTTTTTACCTCCACTATCCACACCAAGAGCAACATGGCATAACCCTGAAGATACAACTGTAGCAGATCCACTCGAAGAACCACCAACAATTTTGTTGGGATCATAGGGATTTCTAATAGGCCTGCAGCAATCACAAAATTTACATACTACCAACTTTAATATCTTTTAAGGGAAAGAACTTAGACAAGATGAAGGAAATGTTAAATTTAGTGACATTGGTTGACTGTATATTAATTTGTAATTAAGACAACGCGGATGACTAATCTGTAACTGTGACACCATACCCTAGTAAATGTTTTGTTACTTCCAGCCAATGTCATATCATTACAATATTTGCACAGAAGATATCTAAAGCATACTCTGGCACATGTTAAAAGGGTTCTCACTCCTCAGTACAACATATTACCAAACATAAAAAAATAGAAATAATTCAAAGAGAGAATGTATGCCGAAGTTAAGTTTACTTCATACTGCAAATAATAAGTGTGTGAATGTGTGTATTTGAGACATAAATTCCACCATTTACCAGCCATGCTGTCTCGTTCTGAAAGGTTGGCTTAATATCCAAATTCTCAGGCCGAACAAATTGCTGAACTAGAGCCATCTTCTCATAAAGTTGTTCATCCTTCTTTACATCATCTGGGAGTGAAGCAAAAACACGGGTAAATAACTTTGTCATAACATACTTCTCCAATCCTTGTATTTGGAAAAAGAAAAGGTGAATCCATTAATGCCAGATAAAGTTTTTCCCTTTTTACTAATAAAAAACAAATTACCCAAATATAAGAAAGGTAAGTAATTTAATGCATTGAACATATGCAAGTAAAATAGGTATAGGGAGACTTACTTCACCAGCACTGTCCAGCTCTTCCTCAGAGCATCCTGCCCAAAGTGGATGAGCTCGAAAAGCAGCTTCCATGTTGGCAAAGAAAGCCTGTACGACCGCACTATCCCTTTCGGGATCAGGAGCATTGTTCGAGAACGAAACTATGAAACTATAATATGACGACACAAAGGTAACTCAAAAGTTAAAACCTAGAAATGATATCCTAAAACGAAACAACGCAACTCAATCATTCTGAAATTATGTTGATTTAGCAATTAATTAAGAAAAACAGCATTCACATCGGGAAATACACTTAAATTTGACTAAATCAACTAATAAAAATAAATCATCGACCGAATATATAATCATTAGTCCCATTTGAGATCAAATCGCATCAAGAGAGCAGAAAATAAGCTTACTCAGAACGAGAACTGGGGCGTGCAGAAATGATGTATGGTTTTGTTTGGTTGAAACAAACTAATCTGGAAAATGTTTCTTCCAGAATCTAGTTTTCCCCATTGAAAAACCCTACTAGAACGATGTACCCTTTCTCCCTCCTCTTTGCTTGAGTTTTGTACGAAATGAGAGATTTGAAAAATGAGCTGCCTGCAATTTATGGGTTTCCTTTGTTTTTCGTTTCTTGTAGAGACGCCCAATTTCTAAAGTCGAGAGGGAGGAGAGAAGGAGAAGATGAAACATTTTTATTTATAGAAAGAGGGGGCGGGAATGGAGAAATAGGTGAAGGGGAAAAATGAAAAAGGGTTAAAGAGGCGTGGGATTTAGAAACTTTAAAATTACGGCGTTTGTAAACATAATCGCAAATAAAATACGAGTTTTTAGCGGTGTTTGTAAAAACACGCCACTAAATAAGAGTCTATAGCGGCATTTGTATAAAAACGCCACTAAAGTACAAACCTATAGCGGTGTTTGTAAACAAAAACGTCACTAAAGTACGAGTCTATAGCGACATTTGTATAAAAACGCCACTAAAGTACCAGTCTTTTGCGGCATCTGTATAGAAACGCCACTAAAGTACTAGTTAATAGCAGCATTTGTATAAAAATGCTACTAAAGTGGTACTCTATCGTTGCGTTTTATATAAAAATGACACTAAAGTATGAGTATATAGTGGCGTTTGTATAAAAACGCCGCTAAAGTTATCATTTTGTGGCATTTAAAATGTAAACGCCGCTATATGTTTAAAGTTAGTGGCGTTTACTCTTAAAACGCCGCTGTAGAACATTTGCTTAGTGCGGTTTATCTCCCTTTGCAAGGTACATTTATTACTTCAACTTCATTTAAACATAATAAAAATAATTAATGATCGTTGAACAGTTCAATTTGTGTTAATTTTCTTTGTGAATGCGACAGGAAGCCTATGTGGTGGATGGCCGAAACAAATAAAGCTGCATGATGCCGAGGGACAAGTACCCGAAGCCTCTTATATTTCACGATGGAAGGCTAGCGTTCTTGCCAACTCCATTGGCTACACTTTATATATTCCTGTGGCTTCCATTTGGGATAGTTCTCGCCATTTTCAGGATTGTCGTTGGTATCTGTCTGCCTTACAGGTTAGCTATATTCTTGGGTTCTCTGAGCGGCGTTCAGCTAAATTTCCAAGGCTGTTTCCCTCCACCAAATTCACAACATAAAAAGGTGTCCTACACGTCTGTACACATCGAACACTTTTGGACCCTGTTTTCCTCAGCACGGCATTGTGCAAGCCCTTGACGGCAGTGACCTACAGCTTGAGCAAAATGTCCGAGATAATAGCTCCCATCAGGACAGTCAGGCTGACCAGGGACAGGAGACAGGACGGAAAAACAATGCAGAAGCTGTTAAGCGAAGGTGATTTGGTGGTCTGTCCCGAAGGAACCACATGTAGGGAGCCTTATCTGTTAAGGTTCAGCTCGTTGTTCGCCGAGCTGGCCGATGAAATAGTTCCGGTAGCGATGAACACTGATGTAAGCATGTTTTACGGCACGACGGCGAGTGGGTTGAAATGGTTGGATCCCATTTTCTTTCTGATGAACCCCAGACCGAGCTACCATGTTCAAATCCTGGGAAAGGTGCCACCAGAATTCACATGTGCAGGGGGAAGGTCTAGCTTCGAAGTGGCGAATTATATTCAGAGGAAACTGGGTGATGCTCTGGGATTTGAGTGTACTACCTTGACTAGGAGAGACAAGTACTTGATGCTAGCAGGGAATGAGGGGGTTGCCCATGATAATAAGAGAAATTAACAAGCACCCTCTTCGCAACATATTGATTAATTGATTTGCACACTTTCATCAACCCTAATGTATTCACTATTTAAATATTTTTGGGACCCGTTTTTACAGTCGTCTCTCCATTCAACAATATAAAGTTTTTATAAGGGATGTGATATTTTTTGTCGGATATAAAAATCCTACAGCATTGTGTTTGAAATTTTACCTGTATTTGATTTATTGTAGTTGCAGAAGTGGAAATGAAACGAGGGGGTCGGAGTTATAAAGGTATTATTGCGAAATATAAAGTTAGACCCGACCGAGAAATAGATTAATTAAAATAAAATAAGATTTGATTGTGTCATGTAAGAATTATTTTCTTAGAAATAAAATCGTCTTAATTAGTATAATTCTTAAAATAGGTGTTATCCCTTGATATTAACGCGGTCATTCGTTATTTATACATAAAAATATTATACGTGCATTGTACATATTAAACCATAAACCGACCTTCAATCAATAATAATAAAATGAATATGTTAAAGATATGTTCATCAATACTTAATAAATAAAAAATAATAATATATGAACTATTTTTTTACGTAAATTTTACTTTATATTCTTATTATTTCTAACTAAAGATAATGTAATTCATAAAAAAAATATTTCATTTGCTCGAGTCATATCGGTTCAATAAATAGAAGATAGGGGTTGATGTATTATTTGGTGGAAGAGTAAGGGGGAATGACATATCATTTGGCAGCACAAACATTAAAATGTGTGCATGCAATATTAACCCTAATCCACATTAAAATGTGTGCATGCAATATTAACCCTAATCCTCAGTACTTGCAATCAATGATGCCATAAATCATTGATTGCAAGTGACAAAAGCCGGATTTGGTTGGGCCAGTTTAATACCCATTTTGTTTCTTGTACTTGTACCGGGAAAGTCTGTCGTGCGACACCTTTAATATAAGATTAAGCTAAGTTGTTATCGGTTTTGTTATTATTTTTTAATAAAATTGATAAAAAATTATCATAAACATTATTATTTCTATCGTTTTTTTTATTATTGGATGTTTTATCGGTTTTGTTAATATATCCGATAAAGTGTTACCGATTTTATTATTTTTTCTATCGATTTTGTTATTATTTGACACTTTATCGAAAATGTTAAAAAAATATTAATGTTTTAGGTAGAAATAATAATATTTTAAGTAATTTTTTTACCGATTTTATTAAAAGAAATAATAACAAAATCGATAACGTATTATCTTAATCTTATATTAAGGGTTCGGACAGTAAAATTTCCCGCTTGTACTATAATAAAATTCATTTCTCTATTATTTTTCAGCTAATTTGACTTTTATATTTCTTGTAATTCTTTTTGGATTTCCTTCCAAAACTATTATTTTATTGTTATTTCTTCGTTTATCGGTCATTGAAGTTTTAAGAATTTCATTTTCTCCTGATAATTATATACCTTAATTGGGTAAATCTATTGAAGTAGGGTGATTAAAAAATGATTTTTTTCATATAGAGTGGAGTTTGTTTTATTCTTTCAAATATGATGAATGCTACAATATTTTCTTAAATCAATGTGTATCTTCGGCGAAAGACATACGAAAACACGTCGTCTTCTAACTTACTTATTTGAGAACACGTCAAATATTTCATATGCCTTCTGCCAAAGATACCTAGTGATCCTAATGTCTTCCCAAAGCACTGCAAATACCACTTTATTTGAGAAAATAAAATTTGTAACACCCTTCACAAAGAAATTTAAATTTTCCATCACCATGTTTGAGCAAATTTGGGCCCTTAATTGTGATCCTTACCACTTGTCACGCCCCCAGAACTTCGACGCCTCTCACCTTCGGAATATCAGAGTCAAGGTCTGACGGGTCGTGCGGCCTTAGACGCTTTAGACGCTCCTCGGTCTTCTCGGCGACTAAGTAAGCCTTACCCAAGCTAAGTGAGTGTGCAAACTCACAAAGGTTGGAACCAAGCCCTCAAGGCTTCGGATTGCGGAAGCTTTAAAACACCAACGTGGCTACTCGGAGCCACAAGGTCGGACTATCGTGTGGAAGTGCTAACACGAAGGTGGCTACTCCT